AGAAATCTTTCCAGGACTAGATATGACAATTTCCATGAATTTAATGCCGTTTTGCAGAGAAAAGTTGTTGGTTTAGAATGGGAGACCGTCATTGCCACTACCGGTGATGAAACTCAAAATTTCCCAAATATCCTGAAATCCTAAAAACCATGAAATATCATGGTGGTTGTAATAATGTGAAGCGTGAAGCCCCTATGGCGTGGGGTCCGTGGCCCGCTTAAGGGCCCCGTGAAATTTTTGGTTCTAGATGCTCTGTGGTGCAATCTGAGGCATTTTCTGGCACATTTTTGACATTTTGACAGCATGAGATGAAGGCGAGACTTGTAGTCAACTACGGCCCGGCTGACTGCAAAAATAGCTGGAATGGTAGGTGTATTGTTCCTCACCTCGCGTATTTTGCCATGTCTCTTTGACTAGGCATGGTTTTTCAAGTCCTTCTTACCGAAAGAGCTGTACTTGAGTCTGTCATTGCACCACAAACAAATGGCATATCCCGGCTGGTCTATTTTCCGGACGTAATTCGACAAAAATCTCCGGTTGCAATCCTTCTCCTCCAACCATTTCCAACTGAAGACATTTCTGATATTTTTTCTGTCAACGTCCTTTATAATGTGTGACTGACCTACCACTTTGTACACGTTGCCGGTTGTTGGATGAAAAGCAGATTATTTTGCTTGACAGCTTGACATGACACGCTGCCCAAAACAGAACATGTCGACGAGTAGCAATGCGCATGCGCATGAGAGGTCCAGCTTCTAGTCTTCGTTCAAGGTGTTATTCTACCCAAAATGGAAGAGGGCCTTTTTGATATGGGCGCGTTAAGTCGTGTCCATGTGTGATGTTTGTAGGTGGATCTGTTCTATAGACTACTCACGTCAGCTCGTTCTGCTCCCAATTTTTACATGACACAGCACGAGGATTTAGGCTAGCCATAACGTGTATTTTCACCAGGGACGGAAATTAAATGAAAATCCGGGAAACATATTTCAGTAGTGCCGATATCCGGATTTCCAGATAAATCCGGGAAAGTTTCATCACTGCACAGAGTGGCAAAACCAGCCTGTCAATTTATCATTTATCTTATCAATAGACATAACCCTGGTATGGCCTTGATTTCTGCGACTTTTGCATGACTTTCCAGGACAACTTTTTCCCAAGATTGTCAACGACTGTGGGAACCCTTTCTAAGGACAAATGGGTTAAGCAAATTGTTGTGAGCACCAATGTTATGTTTAGTGTAAATCTGCTGGGAAAGAGGCAGCTTACTTTATTAGGGCATGATGCCAGAAGATGAGCTCACAGGCAGGGACCAACCA